GACGTCCTTGAGGACAGACAGGAGGAGTTCCAGTGCTTTGCTGCTGCTTTGCCCCATCTCGTGTCCATGCTAGTTGCCCCTGAGGGAGACCCGGATGCACCAGACATCCCGACCCCGCGCTCTTACGCTGAGGCGATGGCGGGTCCCTACTCCTCTCAGTGGCAGACAGCCATGGACGCAGAGATGGCTTCCTGGAAGTCCACACGCACCTACGTCGACGAGGTTCCCCCACCTGGGGCGAACATCGTCAGTGGCATGTGGATTTTCAGGGTGAAGCGGCCGCCGGGTTCTCCTCCTGTCTTCAAGGCGCGCTACGTGGCTCGAGGCTTCAGTCAGCGAGAGGGAGTAGACTTCTTTCAGACCTTCTCCCCCACCCCGAAGATGACCACTCTTCGGGTGCTGCTGCACATAGCCGCTCAGCGCGACTACGAGCTTCACTCACTTGACTTCAGCACTGCTTTCTTGCAGGGTAGCCTGCACGAGGAGATCTGGCTGCGCCGCCCTCCTGGCTTCACTGGGTCGTTTCCTCCTGGTACCCAATGGAGGCTTCAGCGGCCGGTCTACGGTCTCCGACAGGCTCCACGTGAGTGGCACGACACACTGAGGACGACACTTGCGGCACTTGGGTTCGCACCTTCTACTGCTGACCCGTCGCTGTTTCTGCGCACCGACACTTCGCTGCCGCCGTTCTACATCCTCGTGTACGTCGACGACTTGGTCTTTGCCACTGCTGACACTGAGGCTCTCGCCCACGTGAAGTCGGAGCTGCAGAGGAGACACACGTGCACAGACCTGGGTGAACTGACAAGCTACCTTGGCTTGCGGATCACCCGGGACAGAGCACGGCGCACCATCACCTTGACTCAGTCACACATGGTGCAGCAGATCCTTCAGCGCTTCCGCTTCACGTACTCCTCACCTCAGTCCACTCCTCTGCCTACCGGTCACTCGCTCTCAGCTCTGCCTTCGGATGAGTCCGTAGAGCCGAGTGGCCCGTATCCAGAGCTTGTGGGCTGCCTCATGTACCTGATGACCTGCACTCGACCTGACCTTGCATACCCTCTTAGCATCCTTGCACGCTATGTCGCTCCTGGCCGTCACAGGAAGGAGCACATGGATGCTGCTAAGAGGGTGTTGCGCTACTTGTGCAGTACGTCGGGCATGGGGCTAGTGCTTGGAGGGCGAGACCGAGTTGTACTCACTGGACACTCAGACGCTTCTTGGGCGGACGACCAGGCTACTCAGCGGTCGTCTCAGGGTTACACCTTCAGCCTTGGCTCCGGCTCTGTTTCTTGGCGTTCCACACGCTCTTCTTCTGTTCTCAGCTCGAGTTGTGAGGCTGAGATCTACGCCACAGCCATGGCGGCCCAGGAGCTACGCTGGCTGACCTACCTGCTGACCGACTTGGGGGAGCGGCCTCGTTCTCCTCCAGTGCTGTACATCGACAACAAGGCTGCCATTGCCTTGTGTGAGGAGTACAGACTGGAGCACAGAACGAAGCACATCGCCCTGCGGTACTTCCTTGCTCGAGAGCTGCAGCAGCGCGGTCAGCTTTGTCTGCGTTACGTGGCCACTGAGGCCAACACTGCTGATGTGTTCACCAAGGCGCTTCAGCCTTGTGACCATCAGCGTTTTTGCACTCTGCTAGGCCTTGTGCCTACTGGACCTCACTTGCTTACTTCTTGACTCTGTTTGTACTGTGATCTCTATATATATACCTGCATGTTTACTCTTGCTAGGTTGTGATCATTGTACCTCTTGCTCTATTATAAACCTGCATAAGAACTGGTCTTGTGACCACTTGCTTGTGCTCGGAATTTGTGTGGAATCCTTGAGATCCACCCTGAGCTTGTTGTGTCCTGCTTTGCCTTGACCGGTCTTGTGACCCCTAGTTCTCCCCCACTTCGCCTATGGGGGTGTGTCAAACATTATATATGTTGTGTTTGTTTAGGCTACAGTGGGTTAGCCTATAGGGGGTACACAATTCTAGGGTTAGGTACTTGTACTGATTTCACTGTTAGTTCAATCATTCCTGTCCGTTCATTCTGACACAACGAAGTCGCCAGAAGCTTGCGAAAAAAGGGCTGCTTGTCTAATCAGATGGCAATAAATTTTGTACCCAGCAGTCCCATTCCGTGCACTTCAGGACTCAACAAGCTGATTGTTGAAGTGACGTCGTTGAAATCTTACAAGCTAGTACTGCAGGCGGGTGCTGCACTGTGGACAAGTCTCTAGCTAGAATTTTGATGTAAATTTGGATCTCGATCGCTGATGATCGCTGAAGGTAACCAGTGTAGGTGAACAACGGTTGAGATGAACATCTTCGCAGTTACTTCAGCTGTGATCGCGTACGCCATGGTGCAAAATGCGCCATTTTCGTTAAATGGTCAACAACGACCAGCAATGAGTCGTTGCCACTTGTGCCAGCTGACAGTCCCGTGACGAAGTAACTATGTTCAATTAACTTTTGAAGAGTAGGCCGATTCAGTTAAGTGCAGCAGTGCATGCTTTGGATCAGTGACATGAAAAGAAGATCAGTTGCTGTACGCATCACCCAGTTGCGCAGCATTCTGGGAAAGCTCCTTACACTATTGTATCTTACAGTATATACTGAATAATATGAATGGCCGAGCTGAATCTATGAAAGTATACATCTGTTACGAGTGCAATTGCGCGAGCGAACGAGAATTGCACTATCGAGGCAAACAGTACAAGTGAGCGAAGGAATGAGCGAGGACTAAATAGCGAAGGCCACACTGGTAACGGAAACGAACTGTGGGTGATGCGCGACGGGCCTGTGACTGAGGCTGGGAAAGCGTCGAAGCGGAGGCCCGAGCGCGGGTTGCCAACCGAGCAGTGAGGTTGGGTGGCGACGGGCGAGGTAAAGAGAAATAATCGAGGCGAGTATCGCGAGTGGTAACGGCGCTGACTGTGGTGCTACAGTAATGTACGCGCTAAGCAGGGATGCGGCGTAAGGAAAAGGGAACCTCCTTACAACATCACATGAGGCAGATGCACACTAACAATAGAGGTCGTAACCGAGCTGAATCTATGAAATGTACAGTAAATGTGTGGTGTATTGAGAAATATGTGATCGTTGGGTGGGCTGGTAGGCATGTGGTGGTGGTGTGTTGAGCTGCTTCCCCAGTAAGCCCTCACACACCATGGATCACGATTTTGCGCGTGGAAATCATGTCAGCGCCTCACGACTGGATTCGATAACCACACAATCAGTTCTTGACGACATCCAAGAATCCCCTCCGCCAATGGATCTCACGTTGAAATTCGTGGAATTGCCACCAAGGCTCAGTTGGCCATGTCGGTGACCAGTGAAACGCGTACACGACGGCTGGTCGGCGCTCGTCTCGCTGTAAGCCACTCACGCGCTAAGCAAATGTTGACTGTAGCCTGTGAAACGCGCGCACTGCACCAAGCCTTTTGCTTTGGAGCGGCGTTGTTCTGGGGTAACTTGCTGTGACCGCGATCTGAGGCAGTGCCCCAGCACATCATGACCACAGATTCACAGAACGAAATTGGAAATTCAACAAGTTCAGCATCGCCAGGTTCGGCTGGACGTGACGCGCCACAGAATTTGAGGCATCGCTAGGTTCGTTCTGTGTTTTCGGTTCGGCCAACTTCATTGATACTCAAATTATGCCTGAGGTGGTTTGCAAAAGTACTCAACCAACAATCTTGCAGTATAGTCAGTACAAATACCTGTTAAAACTGTTATAAGCACAATACTGAAGCAAAGTCGCCACCAGCAGGTCCGCACATACCCAACCAAAAAGGGAACATACAAAAACGCTTGGATAACCAAGAAATAATCTGGTAATGTTAACCATAAATACGGGATGACGTATAGTGTTTAGGTTTTTATGCTACAACAAACAACACCGCCCAGCGGAGCTTGCTACCCGAAAGGCAATTAAAAACAGCCCTCCTACTGAAAGGCATCCAGTAAGGATGGCATCAACCCTTAAAACCTTGTCGCATGATGTCGTCGACCCTATTCCGTTAAGTTATTCCTAGTCCGCATTTTTTTCCAATGGGTTTTTTATCTTTACGGAATTTGCGTGTTATACAATTTTTCTTTTTAAAGGGTTGAGTATTCCATGCTTTTTCCTCTATTGTAACGTAGTACCTCCACACAATATTGTCTAATTAAATTTGGTTGCGTTCTGTTTTTATCACATTTCGGAGGTGTTTAACCTAAAAAGTGTGATTGAAACGCGAGAACCAATCAGATTACCCTTTCCCAATTTATGCACGCCCAATAAAATTTTGTTGTTTTGCCATGCGCAGCGTCCGTCAGCCCAGTAAATAGTACAGATGATCTAGCATTTAAGTTTGTTCAAAAAGAGTTAGGGCGAACCAGGAATTCGCGTCGAAATCGGGCAACATGCAATGATTGCTTCTGGTAACGTCAGAAAATGCAGTGTCGAGAGCCAACCATTCCGATTTCGATTTGCGTAATCCGGAATCGCATCTATTCTCGACTGTTTGTGCTAATTTTAAACGAATCTTGGGAAGCCTGTAATTTTACGATAACAAATTTCTAAGCCGCGTAAAGTGTACACACCTGCCCAATAACATGGCATGCACTTGAATAGTGTTCCTAGACTGAGTGGCATGCACCTGAAAATGGCCGGGCAACGGAGGTGGGCAACGGAGGTAAGTCCTGCACAGTGTATGACCGTTAGTTTGAAGGCACCTGGGAAGATTCGGATCCGCCACACCCCACGTCACCAACCTCACCGAACCAGGCCCGAAAGAACGAACCTGTCAGGACCAAAGCAACGTGACCGGAACCGAGCCAACTGATAACGTGTTGCTTGCCACGCTTGGGGCAAGAACAACCAACGGAAATGGTATGTAAAGTAGATCAGTTCTTGCATTTTCTCAATCCACCCCAAGTCCACCTCCTCACACTCGCCGCTTTCACCCACACCGCACCCCGCCCTCGCCTTGTATCGGCTACATCTCGTCGCACTTCCATCATGGCCTCCTCGCGGTTCGCCTTCCTAGCAGCGTCGCTCGCGGTTCTGATCCTCGCCACATCAAGCTGCGCATTCGCGCGAATCCACGCGGCGCCTGTCGTTAAGCCCCTCGTCTGCAAGGCTTCGAGTCTGAAGAGCTTAGGTTATACCAAGTCCGTCCAGCTCACCAGCGGGTGCGTGGACTTCCTGAACCTCTAACCCTCAATCTTCCGTTGTATCTAAACGCTCAAGTCCTTTCAGTGATATGTCATAACCCGTGCACAGCGGGGAAACGCATGGATGCCCTCTCTTTTTACGAAATCTGGTTTCGTGTCTGCGCTACATTTGTAGCTACTAGTTGCATCTCCTCATTCTTGGTTCTTAATCCTCCCGACCCGTGTACGTGTACCTCAGCGTGACCTTGCACTGGAGCCTCACCGCCGCGAAGGACGGAATCAACGCTGCGATTCTTGCGAACAAGGGTAGCGGCGGCGAGAAGGGCTGGATATCCGTTGGCTGGACGGCTACACGTGGCAAAATGTGCAACTCCGAAGTGGTGGTGGGGAATCTCCCCGCGCCGAACGCCGTGCAGGCCTACAAGATGACCAACAAGGTCTTCCCGAGCGCCGGGATTCAAACGACAACTGATGTGGCGCTCTCGGCGACATCTGTGACAGGCACTACCCCGGCTGGTGGAAAGATTGTTAAGTAAGTTCTGAAGCCGCTTGTCCAAATCTCGTTCGGCGGTGTTCCCAATGCTAATCCTTACTCCCAACTATTCTGCGTGTTTGCACGAATTTCAGGTTCACTCGCACAGGCGCCGGCAATCTGGCGCCCGTCAATTACACGGGCATCAACAACTTGATCTGGGCCTTCGCGAAAACCCAAGCTTTCGGCTACCACTCCAAACGGTAATTTCTCACACCCCTGTAACATGCCACCCACAATAATTTTTACTTTGATATGTTTTCATTTTTCATTGAACCCGCCTCCTTTCTCTTGTTGTTTTTGTTCGATCAGGGGGAGCGCTGTTGTCAACTTCGGATGCTAGGTCAATCATTAATGGTGTGCATATCTAGCCGTGTAACGGGGCATGCGAAGAGTGAAATGCGGTGGATGATGCTCTACTGCTACTTCTAGTTGGTAGAAATGTAGCATTCACAATCAGCTGACAGGGGGTGACAGTGACACAGGCATAGTTAACGACCTTCTACTGTGGCACACCACCAGTGGTGACACAATCAGCTGACGAGGTGACAGTGACACAGGTGGCGTTAACCTCTTTAGACTGTGGCACACCGAGGGTGTAACCTGTGGCTGATTGTTGATGCTATATGTTGACTAATTCAGATGATTTTGGATCCTTCCATAAATTCATAACCAGTCCGTGCCTTTTAGCTGAATCTCTTACAGATACAGATGCAGAATTAGCACAAAGATCTTTGGCCATGGTGCTCGACTTGTACCCTACCCTACCGCAACTTTTGCTAGAACTACTCTGAGATGGTATCATCGAGATGTTCCTCCTACCTTGGCGTTGTTACCTATTGAACTACCTCCAGCCAGCCAGCCAGCCAGCCAGGCAAAAGTACCATGACGGGAACGGGAGACGCGGGATGAGCACAAGTGGAACGATGGACCTAGGGGCTGGAAGCAGGAGGAGGAGACAGTCGTGAACAAGGGGGAGAACAAGCCAAAGTGTATCGGAAGAAATGTAGGATCGTAGATAGGGAGAGTTGGCGAGGACCGTAACACTAGCTAGTTATTCACTAGCTAGGTTATCTCACTACATTAATGAGTGTCATTCATTGTAACACCAGTCCAGTCCTTATGGCCATTGCTTAGTTATTCATTAGTCCGAAAATTCGTTTTGAAGCACACATAACAAGTTTGCTTGTTCCAATTCATACTAAATATATTATAGAAATGTTTGTGTACTGAAAAGTGATTGGGCGGCCTGTCGGCGCTGGATGAAAGCTGATGGTGTATGGCAAGGATGTGGTGGTGATAAGCTCTCACCCACCACCGACCACGACTTTGCGCGTGCAGATCATGTGCCTCTGGGCTGGAATCGATAGACAACCACACGATCGGTTCTTGACAACGAAGAACGGGTCGAGATCACTTCGGCGGACCGACCTCACGTTGAAATTCGCAGACCTTTTAGTCAGCGTCGGTGATCAGTGAAACGCGTACAACGAGGACAGTGCTGACACACAACCCTTGTCACGTGCTGACTGAAGGTTGTGAAATGCACTACGCACCGAACCTGTGCTTTGGAAGTTGTCGTACCAGAGGTCACGTGCTCAAAACACCACCAACCAGCACTGAACAAAATCGAGAAGTCCAACAACCTCAGCCACCATAGCTGTGACGAGCCAACGAGACCCCAGCCATAGCGAGGCTCGTTCCGGCCTGGTGGGGTTTCGGTCGCCTTACTTGCTTGCCCTCCGGCCTTGTTAGGTTTGGAAGGAGAAGCAGGAGAAATTCGGTTCGGTAAAAATCCAGCTCTTTACCAACCTCAACGAACCAGCCAGGACAAGAGGGAAGAGCGCTGGCGATTCCAGGGCTTGGCACTACTCCCTGGACAGACCCAAAGAAGATGGTATTTAGGAGAGCGGGTTTTTTTCAATTTCTCATTCCACCTCGACTCGGCCATCTCAATCGCCACTCTCCATCACCCACACCTCGCCAACATCCTCTCCTCGCCTATCGCATCGCATCGCAGTCATCTAATTAATCCCCCAACCGTCTCGTAACCTCGCTACCATGGCCTCGTCGCGGTTCTCCTTCCTAGCTGCGTCGCTCGCGGTTCTGCTCCTCGCCACGGCGAGCTGCGCGTTCGCGGCTCGACGCGTCGCCCCCCCTAAGGCCGCCGCATGCGCCAAATCGACTCTGTCTCCGTACTCCAAGTCTGTCAAGCTCACACCTGACGGGTACGCGATTGACCCTCGACCTTCTGCTGTTTTCCTACATCTAAAAAACCCTTTCCATTTGGTTTTATTATCAAAGCGCTCGCAGCTGTAGAATTCCGTGTTTCCGCTTCACGGGTCTCTTCAGCTTTCCCTCACCGTCGGTTCCCACTCCCCACCCTACCGCAGCCTGTTTCTCCTGCACTGGAACCTCACCAAGACGAACGACGGAATCATCGCTGCGATTGAGGCGAAGAAGGGCAGCGGCGCCGAGGCGGGCTGGATGTCCATTGGCTGGACGAAGACAGCTACCAAAATGGTTCCCTCCGACGTGGTGGTGGGGAATTTGGCTGCAGCCGCGCCGAACAATGTGGTGGCTTACACGATGACGAGCAAGGTCTACCCGACCGGGATGCAAACGACAACTGCCGCCGCCGTGGCTCTCTCGGCGACATCTGTGGAAACCACCGCTGCTGGTGGCACGATTGTCAAGTAAGTTTGACAGCCACGTGGTACATCATGTCTCGGATTTCGTTGTCGCGGCGCCGTTCCATGTGCTAATCGTTAATCTGCGCATTTGTGTCATTTCAGGTTCACTCGCAAAGGCAAGGGCATTAAGGCGCCGATCGCAAACTACAAAGCGGGCGTCAAGAACATGATCTGGGCCTTCTCGGACACCCAGGATTTCACCACGGGTTACCACATGCAGAGGTATTTCTCACACCTGTAACTGTCTCCGAGTGCTTCTGAGTACATTTTTATTCATAGCTGCTGTACATATTTTCCTTTTGAAATGGTTTCATTGAACCTGCCCCCCTTTCTCCTTTTGTTTTTGTTCATCAGGGGGAGCATCGCTGTCAACTTCGGATGCTAGAAGTGTCATGTAGCCACGGTGGCAATGGGTGTGCAGAAGTAGCGGTACAACTGGACATGTAGTACCGTACTACTGCTACGGTATATTGTAGGAATGCAGCATCCACAATCAGCTCTAAGGGGGTGACAGTGACACACCTGGCGTTTACACCGACAGATTTTGGCACACCACCACCCGCTTGGGAAGGGTGCAACCTTGTTGCTGATTGTTGATGCTTGTATTAGTGTTTGTGAGCAATGCAGATTCTTGTGATAACGCCACATGCTCATAGACCAGAGCTCGCAGAGCTCGAATTTAGCGTGTCCACGTTTGACGAGTAATGTGTATGCACACATGCTGATGGTGGCGTAACGCATGGTGAAAAAAAAATAGTTCTGTGTATGTAGAACATCGGTTGCATAAATGTGTTACCAAGACTTCTTCTGGGGAGTACGAGTCTCGTTTGGGTAGCGAGGCGACGTTGGGCGACCCTAGCCTAGGCAATTTCTGGTCTGGCCGCGAAATGTCGCGCACACGTGCAACTTTTGCTTGCACAAAACTCTTCGCAAGTTTCTATGTTGCGGTCAGGTGGGTTAGCGACGCGATTTCTTTCTCGCAGCACTGAAACCTGTAACGTCAGGTGGTTTCGCCTTGTGCTCCACCTCGTAGGTGTTTTCGTCGCGACGCTGATGCTTTGCAAGTTGAGTTGAGACCCAACGGAAATCGGGGTTGTTGGCTGGGAAACTTGCTCGCGTGACAAGAGTCGCGACATCCGCTGACACACAGAAGAAAACAAGGAGCTGACCGTCGTTCGAACCTCCAAACTGTACAGTCCAACACACACAGCGTTGATTGTCAAGGCGTGAGAGTCGCACGGACAAACAGTTTTCAAAAAGTCAACCACATGTTCTGGGAAGGTCAAAAACACGTTTTAGAGCGTGGTACACCTAGGTAAAGATCGTGACAAATGAAGGATCGTCTCGGCGATCCTTGCAGAACAGTACCCTACCCACCGCTGTACAGTGATTACTGTACCAGGTGTTGTACCAACAGAGCGAGGATCGAGATCATGAGTAGTCCACGCTACCCAATCCTTGCGTTTCCGAAAAGATCATGGTGACCACCAATCTCACGGCGATCTTTGCATCTCTGTACCACTCGGAGGGTGATCCTTGTTGACGAAAAAGCAGGCTGTCGCGATGGTATTGCACAGCGGTAACACTTTGGCAACTAATCAAAACGTTTTGAAAAGGAGATTCGAGCCAATGAAGCGGTTGCGTCCTGGTCAGTTACACGGTCAAAATGGTCAATGCAAATTTCTAGAGCTCGCGACGTCGCGTAATTTCCGGCGACGTCGCCTCGTCGCAGAGGATCACCACCTCAAATTTGCAGATGGTACACCCGCAAGGATCGTCATGTGCCCTAAAAACTTGTTGTTTGACCACCCATAAACCTAGGTTTGGGGTGATGGTGATCTCAAAACGTGATCTTTGAAAATAGGGCAGGTGTAACACGCTCTTAGCAAGGTCAACCCCCATGTTCTCCGACGGCTGAGAAAATGCTTGGAAGCTGAGACACAACGGAAACTACTAGGAAAAAGGGACAGGGAGGGTGTATGCGTCAGCGGTTGGTGAAGTTCTCCTGCGACAACATCTCCTTCACAGGATCGACTCCTCGCAGATCACACCTACAAAATCCCCAACCTCACCCGACCTGATCAGTATGGGAGTGACACTCTATAGAAGTTCTCACCTCACACCCACCGTTCTCTTGCCTTCCAACTCGACAATCATCTCCCATCCCATTCATCTCTCTCGCATCCTTCTCATCTTCCTTCCATCATCATGGCCTCCTCACGGCTCCCCCTTCTAGCAGCGTCGCTCGCGGTTCTGCTCCTCGCCGCGGCGAGCTGCGCATTCGCGGCGCGGCACCGCCCTGATGCGGCAAGCACGGCCGCCGTCAAGCCCCCCAAGCCCCTTGTCTGCGCCAAGTCGACTCTCAAGGACTACGAGAAATCCGTCAAGCTCGCCAAAAGGTGCGTGTGTCGACGTTCTGCTGTTCTGAATTCTCACTGTCGGTCCCATTCTCCGCACCTCACCACGTGTACCGCAGCCTGTTCTTCTATTCGAACATCACGGACGCCGACGAAATTTTCGCAGAATGCGAGTCGCACCTCCTCATTGTCGGCCCCCATATACTCCCCATTCCACTGTGTACCATACCTTGTTCTTCCATTGGAACATCACTGCGGCGAAGGACGGGATCATCGCGGCGCTCGGCTGCCGCAGCCGGAAAAGGCAAGTGCCAAATAAAACTTTATACTGGCGCTTTCGTAACTTTGCAGTTGCATTTTTCGCGCAAAAAAAAAGTTTGACTCGACAACAGTGGTAGCGTCAGTAACTACAACCGTCACCTTCCCGTCACTTTCTGGCAACAACGTGTGCAGATTCCCGCATCCGCCACGCAAGTGTACAGGCAACTTCACAGATGGAATACAGTAACCCCCCACGTAACTAACGCAATCACGATAACGTTGCACCGCAACCACCCACCTCACATACCTCCCAGTAACCAAAACATGCGGCGACGTACACGTGCCCACGTGTACGTGAATTACAACCGTACCTGCCACGTAAGCGTACACATCCACGAATTGCCGACCACAGCCGCACGATTTCGCACCACAACACCAAATCTGCACCGTTCACGTGTAAACTGCTCCACAAATCGCCAATACAGTTACACTTTCGCCAGCTAAAACAGTTCCATAGATTAGGTACTGCATTCCAAATCCAGCCCGTCCATTTTTCAAGCATTGTATGCCTCGCACCACTAACCCCCCGCCACGTGCAACCCTCACCGTGACTCGATACAGAACACCCACACGCCTTCTCACCACCTGCATGTCCCACATGTCTTCATCACACGTCATCGTACTACGTGTAACACCTTATCGCAGCGACCTCGCGTGCGTCGCCCAACCACTTGTACTCGGCCATCTTCCTCGCCCTACGCAGCATCAACAACTCTTAGGCTGCCACGTATCGGCCACTGTTTAGGGAAATCGCCCTAAACAATCGCAAATGCGTGCGGCAGCAATCCGCACGGCCCCGACGCGTCGCACCACCTAGTTCCAACCACACAGGGAGGATGCCCATCACCCGCGACCACCATCGTGGACGTGTCGCCATGTTGACCTTTCGCACCACATGTAACATCGTCGCCTGCACCACACTTCCAGTGTCGCACAAAGCGCATCAACAAAAGAGAGCCGTCCACGGAGGACGGAAACGAACCAACATTCCATCGCCACGCGTCACATTCACACCTTTCACAAACGCCACCATGCCCAGCACACCAACATCGTGCCGACACCTGCACTTACAATCTACCGCACATGGGGCCTCGTCACCCGTTCGCACTAATCACGGCAACCCGCGTGTTGGCCCCAAGATGGGCGGATCCCCCATCATGGCCCGACTCGTGTGCTCTCCGACAAACGCGGCGACAATTGCGGCGCATTTGACGCGCGCCTCGGGATATTAGGTTCGTTTGGTCCTAACCAACCTCCATTCCCCGCTGATGTCTGTCTGACAGAAAATGACCAAGTCATGTCCACTAAGCACACTCAAAACAAGCATACAAGAACAATTACCAGAACCGTCTATCGCGCATCAAACACCGTAAACTTTCTCTGAATTCTAGACACCTACAAACCCCAAACCAGCCACACGTATCTCAAAAGCGCACACCACGGCAGGTCTATGCCCTCCAACAGCCTGGCCTCCCCCTCCCCGCCGCTCTACACACCCCCGACAGACACCGACTGCACATCGTTCCCGGCGGCGTCTCCTCCGCTAGCGCCTGCATTGGGCTTCATGCTCTCAAGCCCACATGCAGAAAGGCGGAGGCCATAGCGTTCCCATATCCACTCCTCCTTCTCCTCGTCGTACTCTGGATTGAAGTGACGGATGGCCTGTGAAACGGAGCCCTTCACAAGCACCTTGAGCCCGTTCACCACGTGGCCGTTCCCCCCGGCCGAGTTAGAGAGACGGCCCATCCTCTGCTCCCAGTACATGATGCTGTCGGACACCTGACAGGAAATACACACCGCGCACACATTGTAAGCCTTAGGCCATGCTCAGACTAACCACCAAAGTCATACATTGTCACTCACCACGTGCTCCAGCCACGCAAGGTGGTACACCTTCAAAGTGAGCGGCAGTGCAGCCTTCTTCGGAATGAAGGCAGCCTTTGCGCACGCCGCAAACGCCGCAGAAGCAAACGGCATCCCGTCGCAGTCGGTAGCCCAGTTGCTCAACACCAGATCATCTGCACACCGCCGATATAATGGACGACTTTAAAGACTACACCCAAGCCCGCAACCATCACCAATGTGTAAAAGCGCCTGAACACCGCTTACCGCTCTCATCCGCCCCGAGCCCAATGCGCTCGCGAATCTGCTCCAGCGTCCGTGCGTTGTCCCTTGCCCACGGGCTTGCCTCGTCGCGCTCGTCCCGGAAGAATCCAAGCTTGGGGAGAGCAATGTCCCGGACTCGTCCTGCAGCCCTTGTCTTCCACTCGCTCAGCGTCTTGTTAAGGTCAGCACGGCGTGACTTGTCCGCTGCCAGCGCAAGGCACGCGAAGCTATGCGGCAGGCGGTCAAGCACTGCGCAGACGCCATAAGTCTTGTCGTCAGAGCTCGGATAGAAAGTCATGGTTGCGGCCGGTTTCTTCAGGAACAGCTGCACTCGGACCAACTCGCATAGGCGCTGCACACAAGTCAGGGACGACGGCACATTCTGAATGAGAACAATGCTCCACCACAGGGCATCGCACGTCAGACAGCGCACGCCCATATAGTAATGTTGCCCGTCTGCAAGCACATCCCACCTTCCAAGCCTTGTCGGCGGGCAGCAGATCAAGTGCGCGTTGCAGAACAGGCGACTTCGCAGACCGCATGTGCTTACGACACGTACGAATCTGTGCCACGTCCTTGTAGTCGTCGTCGTCGTCCACCTCATCGTCATCGTCCTCAACCTCTGCCACAGCCTCGCCACGACGCTGGCGCTTTGGGTTCATGCATCCCTGCCCGGGATCCCTCTGCCGCTCCGCTTTGCGGCGACGAGGTCCCCCATCGGACTTCGCCAGCGCCTCCAAAAGCAGGTTTTCCAAGCGGGCAACTTTCTGCGCGCTCTCGTCCTGCGACTTAAGCAGGCTCCTGAATACTCCCGCGGAAACGCGCACCTCCTCCCCATTGGTGTCCACATCAGCGTTCTCGCGGTTCGTGTTGGTTTCGAACATCGCGCGCATCGCGTCGCCCACATCCTCGTCATCCTCCTCTTCGAAAGCGTTGAAATCGCTCTCGATGCGTGCCTGGTCGCCCCCGTCAACGTCCTCGCCTCGATTCCGGAGAGCCAGACGAGGAGCACCGTCGCTCTTGGAACGCGAATCGGGCGAGTCACTCTCCAGCGCTTGTTTGCCTACCCTGCCGGGAGAAGCGTCAGATGTCTCACCCCCCATATTATCTGTAGAGGTGGGAATGTGACCGGAGGAGAAAGTTATTTCAAGACAACACAAGCACCAATACGGAAGGATGGGGAATGCCAACACTTTCTTACGCAAACGGGCCACAAAACGCGTCCGTTTAGTCGTTCAATTCAAACAACCAGCGCAACAAAACCGTCATTACCGTCACCAGCTGATTTCCCGCCACCACTCGCTGTGGTAAAGGTCAAACGCTTTGGCAAAGCCGTTCCGCGAGTCCCCCTTGCCATGCGCGCACGAGGAGTTGCAAGCTGATATGCCGCGCGCAGGTACGCCGGAGGCTGGGACACTCGCCGTGCACGCCCCAAGTTGCCAGTATCTTCGGAAGCAAGGGAAGTCTCCATTGTGCATGGTTGACAGTGTTTGCGTGCATGGTACGCAAACCTAAGTACTCGGATTGATCTAGTAAAGTATACGGTAACCAGTGAATATTGCTCAACAACGTCAACAACCATCGGGAAAACCTTTGCCTCCAATCAGAATAAATGCAATCTCCGACAACCACTGGTAAACAACCTCCACGATTTCTGTTATCTGTTTTAGCGAATACGCTTCGTCCAATGATCCCCGTCATCTTTCGTCCGAATACACGTCCTCTCGATATCATTTCCGCTTACTGCTACTTTAGTACCCTCGCTATCATGCTATTTCATAACAATTAAACATTCATCTCCGGAAACCACGTATTAGCAAACTATTAAAGACTCTCAAGATTTACAGTACTTTCCACACACATGCAAACATCAATCGTTTACGGATGCATTCTCTAGCCCTTGATACACTCTCATTTCCCACTGATATCCCAAGCCCCGTCCTTCTGCCTCCCACGACCAGTTTCATCTGTCTTGTCCTCCGTGGACTTTGCCTCTGCACTGCAGGCCCTCACAAGCGCCCTGCTGTCCTCTGGTTCGTTGGCAACGATCACGTTGTCCTCACTGCCAGCCTTCTCTCCTTCACCCTCTCCTGCCGTGCCACCACCCTGCGCACCACTCTCCTTTCGCGGTCTGCCCCTCTTTGCAGGCGTTGCATTCTTCTTGGCCCGCGCTGCCTTCCGCATCACACCTTCGTAAGTCTCCCTCCATACCCTCCAGCGTCACCATATGCGGGCATCCACCATGACTTTTAGGACTTCAGGAGTGCACCCCTTCAAAGCTGCCCTATCCGCCGGTGTTAAAGCCACAGAGTTCCGAGTGCCCTTGCCTGGCCTCAGCACGTGGGCAGCTGCCGCGTAGCAAGTCGCTGCCTCCTCTATCGTTGTGTACGCGCCGACTCTCTTCGTTACCTTCTTTCCGTCCTTGTCCTTGGCGACAACCTTCACCCCATTCTTGCCTGTATCGGCCTCCACATACACCCCGGTGTACTTGGTCGGCTTTGTTCCTGGCTCGGTCTCCCCCTCTCCGTCCTCGTCAGAATCCTCTCCTCCGGCCAAGGGCTCCTGCTTAGGCACAGCTGTGAAGCCGGGGTGTGCGCCCGCACCGCTCTGCGCCATCCCGTACACCGGATAGGATGGCTGGACTAGTGAAACCGCAGCTCCCTGCTGGCGCGACAACAGCCAGTGTGGAACCGTCCCGGGGATCGGCAGATGTGCCGGGAAGCAGGGGTACGCTCCAACGGCTGACGCGAACTTGCTGTCGAGCGACACTCTCGTGTTGGAGCCCATCATATCCTCGTCAGGGCTGTCGTTCAGCTGCTTCGTGTACCCTGACGGCCGTACTGGAGTGGTTGGGCCGTGCTTGCGCGGATCATTACCCCTCGCTCCCTGCACAGCGACGGCAGGTTGCTGCAGCATGTTTTTGCCGGCCGAGATCAACTGCTCCCTCGACATCCCAAGCACATGCCCAATTACGGCGAATCCTGCAGTCATCGCACCGACCTCGCGCTTCAAGGAGCACACCTCCGCCTCGAGCTGGTCCACACGTTTTTGTTCTGTCTGTTGTCCATCCTCCGCACCCTCCCTTAAAGTCGTGTTGTTGGTGGTGCCGCTTTGCTGAGAAGGAACATCCAAGCCATCCTCCTCTAGCCTCCGGAGCAACTCCCCCATAGCGTGTGCGCATAAATCTGTCAGAATATTATGCTCTAGCCTGTAGTGGGGTGCTCTGTTGCTAGTACAACCCTTCTAGGGTTTGCTATTTGTATCCCCATTCTTGCTAGTGCAACCCCTCCTTCTTTCGCCTAAACTCTCTTGCCTAGCTAGGACTCTCCTAGCTATGGCTCCTAAGACTACCGCTTATCTTGACATGGTATCAGAGCTTAACGTTCGTGGCCTGTGGGCCCACTTCACTGCTTCCGCTGCTACTGCTACTCCCTGTCCGCCGCGCGCCCCGTGGTGCGCGGCGTCGAAACTAGGGTTTTCAGCCCGCCGTGCGCCCCGAGGCGCGCGGCGGTTTTCTGCCCGCCGTGCGCCCCGAGGCGCGCGGCGGTTCTCTGCCCGCCGTGTGCCCCGAGGCGCGCGGCGGGTTCCTGCCCCGTCACTCGGCGCGTCACCCCCGGGAGGCGCTGCGACGGGCGACGGGGACCCGCGCGTCGCCCCCCGTCGCCCGTCGTGGCCTGCGCGCGGCCCGTACGGGCTGCGCCAGGCCCGCGCGCGGCCCGTACGGGCTGCGCCAGGCTCGCGCGCGGCCCGTACGGGCTGCGCCAGGCACGCGCGCGGCCCGTACGGGCTGCGCCAGGCCCGCGCGCGGCTCGGACCGCCTGCGCGCGGTTCGGGAGGCTGTGCCAGGCCCGTGGGCGGCCCGTTCTTCGCTGCCCCTGTCCTCCCCGCTGTCCCCCGTGCTTCTGAAGGCGCCCCACCCCTCCTTCTGCCCGTTCTCCTGGATTAGGGTTTGGGGTTGGGGGGTATGGGGGTGCAGCTTCTGTGTGCCGTTCCCTGCTCCTCCTCCTCCTCCGTCTCCCTGTGCTGCAGCTGCCGCTGAGGGGGGTGGACCTGTTGGAGCCGTCGGAGTGGTACTAAGGGGGGGTGAAGGGGGAGTGGAGCTAGCGGTGTAGCAGCGGGTGTGTGTCGAGGGGTGTGGGACTGTTGGGGGAGGTTGAGGGGAGGTTGCCGTCGTGTCGTACGCAGCGCCTGTACTCCGGGGCACTCACTCCCGGTAGCTCAGAGAGCCGGTTGCGCCGTCGCCTGTGGGTCCGTTGCTCCTGCTGCTCGTCTTAGCCGCGGAGCCTGTTACTCCTGTACTCCGGGGCACTCACTCCCGGTAGCCACTGTGTCGCACCAGAGCCGTCTGTTGCCCGTGTGCCTGCAGCTTCAGTCGTCGCCTCCCATCTACTCTCCTCTCGCCAGCCCTCCTCCTCCTCACTTGCCCGTTGTGACTACCACTAGCTTTGCTCATAATTGTGAACTTTAAACTATTGCTTCTTAAACTTGTGCTCAGAATGTGTGGTGACATTGTGATCCACCCTGAGCTTGTACTGCTTTGCTTGCTCTGCTGATTACACCCCACTTTGGCTATGGGGGTGTGTCAGAATATTATGCTCTAGCCTGTAGTGGGGTGCTCTGTAGCGAGTACAACCCTTCTAGGGTTTGCTATTTGTATCCTCATTCTTGCTAGTGCAACCCCTCCTTCTTTCGCCTAAACTCTCTTGCCTAGCTAGGACTCTCCTAGCTATGGCTCCTAAGACTACCGCTTATCTTGACAAAATCAGCGCGCATGTTGCGGCGGTACTGCAGCGCGCTGACCCCTTTGAACCACAGGCCACTCTTCAAGTTGGCGAAGTCGGAGTAGACCAAAACTTTCAAGTAGTGGCAGATGAAGACTCCACAGTCATTACCATTCTCTTGCTTGGGGATGTGATTCTCCTGCGCGCAACGAAACCGCACACCAGGTAGTCGTTTTCCACAAAGTTTGCTCAACTGCCGACCACCAAATAATCCTGAAAAGTCGCACTTACCGTGAGGACATGACAGTGAACGTCCTTTAGCAGCTGTTCAAAATTCGTTGTGTCCACATGTGGATGCGTCTCCTTGGCGAGGGTTGACAGCAACCTGCGGAACATCTCTGAGAAAACAACCCGGTTACCTCCACGCCTGTGGTAATAACCACAATATTACAACTATTAAAGCAAACACTTACAGCTTCACGCCACTGAAAACCTTCTGTGTACTCATGGGGGCCTTGGAGCTGTCGAACAACACCATTTCCAGCGGAGGGCTATCCTTCCTTGCCCTCTTATTCACCAGCCGGTGGGGTGATATGACTATCACCATTGAGTAGTGCTCTCTGCAGGGAGGCAAGCGGCAGGAAAGGACGGTGTTTAGTCCCGCCGATGAAGAATGCGTGCAATTTACGGCTCCTGATGAACAACTCAAATGGCTCGATAATTACCCCCTGTAGACAGGGACCGCAAGGTAGTCGTGCTCAAGGAGCGTCAGGCGCGTTTCCAAACGCGTACATTTGGTTCGGCGCGTAAGGTATGAGTTTGGCACTTCCGAGCATGAATTGCCTGTACACCGCTTTGGCCAAGGTGTAGACTCTGGGCCAACTGGCACGTGTAGCAGTGATCAAACAGTGCCGGATGGGAAAGCCTCTGTGGACGCGCACCTTACGTGGATGCACGTGCACATATACGCGTCATGTACAGTCCCGTGTCTCTGGGTAATGCCGACTTTGGTTGGAGTTTCAATATACTAGTGCTTATATTCGGGTGTTAGTGTCTACTCTTGTTTAGACGCGAATGTGTGATAGAACAATAATTCGGATATTCATGGGCTGTTTTTGCACCACATTTGTGTGGTTCTAAGGTCCAGACTTAGAAACATATCATTTATGTTGTCAGTGTTATTTTTGAACATCAAAGTGTATTGCTTTACAGGTCCTATTTGTGCAAACGAAGCACACACGACTCAAAGGTTGATGCTCACGGTCGTGGCGGATTTGAAAACTGACTACCTCCACCATTGTTGGTGGTCGGATTAGGGTTTGTAGATAGTCCGAGATGACGGGAAACAAGTGCGGCGTATGCGGTAAGGATTTTCCTAGCGACCGTGATTTACAGTCTCATTTTTCAGACAGAATGAAATGCGGGGACTCGCTGAAGAGAAATCTCGAGCATCTTATGTTTGATGCCTACCTGGAAGCGCTAAACAGTGTTGGGCAAAAACGCCAGCGCAGCCCTGCGATGTCTGGGGCCAAAACCAGTGGGGTACCTACGAACTTGCCGCCAGAGGGCTCACCGCCGCAGGCGACGGAGGCAGATCATGAGGCGGACGATGGCGAATCTGGCGGCTCTTCTTGTTCGGAGGCCAGCGACGTCTCCGACTTCTTCGACACGCTCACGGAGCTGTACCTGTTTTTCCGTGACGCGGACTTATCACGCCGTGAAGTCAACAGACTGCTTAACATATTCCGTAACCCTCAGTTCAGTTTGAAGGAATTACGCAAGTGGCGCAACTACGCTGACGTGAAGCGATGGGGGAAGGAGCGTGCGCCGCGGGATATGGTTCCATGGAAAACTGAGCATATCGTCGTGCACGGGCCCAGAGGAATGTCCCAAAAGCTTCTCTTGCACTTCCGCGACACAGAGCTGGTGAGCTTGGCGTCATTTGCGTACCGCCCATATTCCGCTTCAGCGTTAACAGATGGCATGAAACGTGGTTATCCATATATGTATGTCCGCTTGATTGTTATGGGCATGTTCCGGTGCGCAGCTTGTGAAGAAGCTAGTCCGCATTTTTTCGCGGAGGAAGGGTTTCGTGTGGAAGCCACAGGAGAAGTACAACGAGAAGGGGAAGCGCGTTTTCGAGGGGCCAGAAACAGGCACTTGGGTGCACGAGGCGCAGGTGCGTTGCCAGGCTGCAACAGTCGTGTCCGATGTAGGGCGTGCTACTTTAAGTACCACCTCTGTGTGTGCGTGTGGCAGAAAGAGATCAAGGACGACAAGGCTCTGATTCTCGGGGTCATCGTGTACAGCGACAGCACTCAGGCGTCGCGCAACGGGCGGCGGAATGCGTGGCCTGTCTTGATTTCGCTTATTAACATGCCGGAGGAATTGAGGTGGTTTGAGCCGGGCCACACTCTTGCGGCGGTGTTGCCCTTCTGCCCGGAATGGGCTAGCCCGACAGAGAAGGCCCGTGTTTTCCAGGAGGCGCTGAAGATCATACTTGGACCCTTGATGCGGGAAACCGCAAGGTACGTTTGGCGGCAGTTTTGTCATTTCTGCTCGTATTTTACGCGTTGCCTGTGATGTATTTGTGATCCGTTACCTATTGGAAACCCCTTTCTGTATCCAGTGCTCCAGTGAGGTACTTTTATGTGACAGACGCTACGGGCAACGTGGTCAAGGTGGTACCTTGCCTCTATGGGTACCCTGGTGACTATCCAGAGAACAGTAGGGCTTCAGCAACGCTGCAGACGGGCACACATCGCCCGTGCGCTAACTGCTATGCAGAAGTGGGAGACCTGACACGGCTGACAGCCAAGATGGATCCCCGCACACCGGAGAGGCAGAAGGACATTGTGCGACTGTTTTTTGCGTTTGCCAAAAAAGAGGATGCCCGTAAATACATGAGCCAGTGGACAACCCATCCGATAGAGGTATGTTGCAGTTTGCCATTGTGCCGTGGAAACATTCGTTGGAATCGTGCCGACACATAACATATGGGGTTGAGACGTGCTTCCTTTTGGGCGTAGTGCGTGCTGGCGCGTTGGAACTTTGGGGACACCACTTGGGGGAACGTCTACCTCGCATGTCTTGCTGACATATTACACGTGTTGGAATCTGGTGAGGCGAGGCGTGTAGATACCCGGTGTGCTATTTCGTGGTGGACAGAGCGATGTCTGTTGCCTTGAACTATTGTCTTTGTGTTTGGGCGTGATGCGGTTGTGGCTCGTTGGTCCACATTGCGTGGTAGGCGGAAGAAAGATTTGAAAAGCGACACGCCAAGTGTGTTGCTAAGGATTCCTGGGGGCTCATCATTCTTCCTTTCTGGTGCCCACTATGCGGCGTTCGAACATCGTGCCATGATGCAAATCATGCCGATCATCATAGCGGACTCTAGTGCATTGAAGAGGGGAAAGGCGGGAGAGCTGAGGGCGTTGCAGGTTAGAGCCTTCCGTTTTTACGCCATGTTCTACAAGGCGTTTTTGGGAGTGGCGGCGCACACCCGCGACACGCTGAGAGCGGCGAGGCAACATGCTGTCGCGTAAGTACGGTGGTTGGACACGTGTGTTGTGTGCAAACCTTTTGCAGTTTGTACCGTGTGCTATGCAGTCTGCTGGTAGAACCTCAGTGCTGAACAACACTTTGCTTTGCAGGTTGATGGAGCTGCTTCCTCGCGCTTTCCCGGACCAGGCGTCAAAGTGGGAACTTCCCAAGATCCACATGATAAAGCATGAACGTGGAAGCAAGGGGGATGCCACACCACGACATCACGGAGATGTGGGAGCGCACACACAAGGGGACAGTGAAGGGTCCCGTGAGGGGGAGCAACTGGGCTGACATTCCGAGGAGAATTGTGGATGAGGAGATGCAGCGGGAGATTTACAGAGAAGTGGCGGCAGATGCGGGAGGAGGTCGGCAGTATGTGTCAGCGCTGCGTGTGGTGAGCGGTAGGGTGCAAGCAGGACTAGGGGAAGTGCGCTGGGCGTCTCACGACCTGTATTAGGTGGGCGTGTGATATGCATTCTCATACAATACATGCTGCCTCGCCGGTTGTTGCGTGCGGCAGGCCGTGGAAGAGATGGAGCCAGTGCTAACGAAGAAGTTCAGGGTCATGCGCCTCGGAGGCACCGCGGACAAGGTGTTTGCCGAGTACGCAGCGGTATTTGGGGATCAGATGGCGGGCCTACCAGGTCAGCTGAGGCAGATGCAGATGGCTTGTGGCAGTGTGCAGGTAATTGAGGTTATGGTGTGCGGATTCGCATGTGTGGTGCGCTGAATGTGTAACATTGCCTGACATTGTTGAATTGTGTGCCATGCTTGCCTTCTATTGCAGACACACACAGCAGTGGCCATACCACGAACACAGGGTGGTGTGCTTGTGGCGAAGGGGACGTTCGTAAAGGCATCCCCGCGAGAGAAGCTGTTCTCAGATGTGGCACTCTTGGCTCCTGAAGGCGGAGATTGGTTTGCTAGGTGCCTCTGTATTTTCAAGGCATTGAACGCGGAGGGCAAGTGGACTGGGTGTGCCTACGTGAGGTACTACGAAGCAGCAGGCCAGTGTCCCATCACAACGTGTACCGAGTTGTATCCAGCTCGAGAGAATGTCCGGTTCGCAGTGGTGCTGTTGAAGAGCCTACAGAGGGTTGTCCACGTATGCCCATCTTACAGCAACCCTCGTGTGCTGCTGGTGAACAAGTTTCTACTCTGCGAGTAATTGGAGTAGGGGTTTGTGTCTGGAACTGAGGGATGGTGTTTTTGTAACACTTACAGTAGGGGGGAATTGTGGGTAAGTGACGTTGAGGGGTGGATGGGTACCTGGTTAACGGAAGGAGAGTGTGCAACAGAACAGTCGGCCGGTGGGAAATGCTTTGATTTGTCGTGCATGTGTAGTGGGAGTGTGGGAATTTGTAAATGCTTGGCATACTGGAAGTTTGGTGGGCGGTGTTCGGCTTGTGGTAATGTTTGTAACGGATTCGGTTATTACGGTGGTTTTTTTCTGGGTACCGGTGTGTGGAGTTCTTTTTGTGGTTGTAATGCAGGGACACGGTTGTTACGGATTCAAATGGGATATGTGGCTTGGGCTATTGGTTCGATGATCGGATTTCTAGTGTGTGTGACTGGCAGGTGCGCAGTGTGTGACGTGTACAACATCCGATGTTGCCATGTTGGGCCAATGGGAACTGCGCACTTGTGTACATGGTAATCAGTGGACAGAGTGCATTTGGGGGCGATTCGGTGTTTTTTGCAGGTGTGGAGCGCCTAAAAGGCAGCACATCTAGTGGGGGAGCGTACGGTTTGGACTTGAGGTGGCTTAATTTGGGGAGGTTCGCCATTTCATCTCCAGCTACTCACACTTCGTAGAGGGTTTGCTGGTGGCCAGTATGAGCTCGGTGAAGCCCCCGTTGAAGGACATCGTACAGAAGCTGAAAGTGCTCCCCGACGATGTGTTTCTGTTTGTGGAGATACTGTTTTTGCCCAGCCGGTTGCCGAAGACCAAGATACCGGGGAGGAACGGAACCCCGTGCGACCGGATCATAAGTGTGGGCTTCCTATACAACGCGACGGGGACCTGCACCACGGTGCCCCTTGTGGTGTTGCGCCATGACGAGCGCCCCGAACCTAGGCGCAGCGGGGAGCCAGCACCGGCGGTGATTGTGCGCTACACGAAGAGTGGTCGGCTCACACCCGAGGTATGTTGGTAGATTTCGAGTGGCGACGTTGCCGCTTATTGGTACAATGTTGTGGCGGCATGTCGATCGTGTTCTTGTATGATACCCTAATCAAGCGCACGCGCTGTCGGGGCTTGGCGGTGTGCAGGTGTTTACCGAGTTTTTTCAGACGGTTGATGGGGTGCAGCTTAGCCGTGGAAGGAAGACGGTTGTGTTCACCTACAACACGGCGCACCGCATTACCGCGAATGACGCGGAGACCACGGTGGAGCATGGGCTGACTATGGTGCATTTCACGCACACACGCTTTGTGGACCTCACGGACATTGTGCACTGGTCCAGTATGCCGTTTTTGCACGGCGTGGTGGACGCTTTCAAGGCTGAGTATCGTGTGATACTGATGAGACGCGCGGTGCGATCGAATCTATTCCACGATGATTTCGAAGCGCCGTTTTCCGTGGTGAATTACGGTGTCATGCTGCTGTGGGTGGGCTTGGCGTGGAAGGCACTGACGGCGGCCACGATGCAAAGGAGCTGGTGGAGGGCGGGATGCGTCCCGGAGTCATGGTGGGAGCTGATGTGGCACCTGCACGGCATGTACTCGGCAGGCATGTACGATCCGCTGGTCTCTACCACGGCGGACCTCCTGGTGCTGCTACGTGAGTTCCGTGTGCGGCCGGCTATTTATATGCCGGTGTCCGATTACGTGACATGCGATGAGTGGTTAATGGAGAAGGCTGGTGTGAAGTTGGTGACGCCCACTACGCCCACGTCTTCAGGGGATGAGGGCGAGATGTGCCTTCCGGATGGGCCTCTGATGCGAGACGAACGAAGCCGACGACGTGCCATCCGCAATGTGACGAACGCGTACGTGTGTCATGCTGAGGCGCTGGGGATTGCACCTGCGGAGGTGGCGACTGTTGTTGGCGCCTCTGATGGAGAGATGGTTAGCCGCCTAAGCCGCACACCGAAGAAGCGTGCGCGCAGTTCGGGGTCGTCGGACAGTGGGTCCGTGTAGTGCGCAAGGCCTTGATGCTGTAGTGGGGGGGGGGGGGGGGGGGGGGGGGGGGGGGGGTGGGCTCATGTTTGTTGTTGTGGTTGCTGGTTGACGCTAGGGTTTGGTTTTGTGTGCTGTTGTACTTTGTATTTCTGAATGCTGGAGATGTAAGCGAATGACACGGTTTTCACATTATGAAGTAGACGGTGTGCAGAGCATTGTCGTTGGATTTGTTTAGTGTATACGGTTTTCGGAGTAGGTGTGCATGTTTCGTTTCTGCGGTCTCTGTAGCGTGGGTGGGGCGACACGACAATACCGAGTATGTTTAGCGTTTTTGGCCCGAGCCGCATGTGTTCGAGGCGCATTCGTGGAGGCGGCGCGGATAATGGCGCAGGTGATGGCAAAGTGACATTTTGGTGGCGGTAATGTTGTGATCGAGTGTGCGGTTATTGATCAAGCCAATGTTGCGTTTTACGGTCATTGTTTTTTCGACACATGTCGCAACAATCACGCAAGCCCCACGCAGAAAAACCTTCGTCCACCCAAAAACGCAATTTCCATTTTCCGAGATGCGGCATCTCCTCTCCTCATTGATGGTTCCCATTCTCCCCACCCCACTGCGTGTTGTCAGAATGAACGGACAGGAATGATTGAACTAACAGTGAAATCAGTACAAGTACCTAACCCTAGAATTGTGTACCCCCTATAGGCTAACCCACTGTAGCCTAAACAAACACAACATATATAATGTTTGACACACCCCCATAGGCGAAGTGGGGGAGAACTAGGGGTCACAAGACCGGTCAAGGCAAAGCAGGACACAACAAGCTCAGGGTGGATCTCAAGGATTCCACACAAATTCCGAGCACAAGCAAGTGGTCACAAGACCAGTTCACATGCAAGTTTATAACAGAGCAAGAGGTAAAATGATCACAACCTAGCAAGAGTAAACATGCAGGTATATATATATAGAGATCACAGTACAAACAGAGTCAAGAAGTAAGCAAGTGAGGTCCAGTAGGCACAAGGCCTAGCAGAGTGCAAAAGCGCTGATGGTCACAAGGCTGAAGCGCCTTGGTGAACACATCAGCAGTGTTGGCCTCAGTGGCCACGTAGCGAATACAAAGCTGACCGCGCTGCTGCAGCTCACGAGCAAGGAAGTACTGCAGGGCGATGTGCTTCGTTCTGTGCTCCAGTCTGTGCTCCTCACACAAGGCAATGGCAGCCTTGTTGTCGACGTACAGTACTGGAGGAGAACGAGGCCGCTCTCCCAAGTCGGTCAGCAGGTAGGTCAGCCAGCGTAGCTCCTGGGCCGCCATGGCTGTGGCGTAGATCTCAGCCTCACAACTGGAGCTGAGAACAGAAGAAGAGCGTGTAGAGCGCCAAGAAACTGAGCCAGAGCCAAGGCTGAAGGTGTAACCCTAAGACGACCGCTGAGTAGCCTGGTCGTCCGCCCAAGAAGCGTCTGAGTGTCCAGTAAGTACAACTCGGTCTCGCCCTCCAAGCACTAGCCCCATGCCCGACGTACTGCACAAGTAGCGCAACACCCTCTTAGCGGCATCCATGTGCTCCTTCCTGTGACGGCCAGGAGCGACATAGCGCGCAAGGATGCTAAGAGGGTATGCAAGGTCAGGTCGAGTGCAGGTCATCAGGTACATGAGGCAGCCCACAAGCTCTGGATACGGGCCACTCGGCTCTACGGACTCATCCGAAGGCAGAGCTGAGAGCGAGTGACCGGTAGGCAGAGGAGTAGACTGAGGCGAGGAGTACGTGAAGCGGAAGCGCTGAAGGACCTGCTGCACCATGTGTGACTGAGTCAGGGTGATGGTGCGCCGTGCTCTGTCCCGGGTGATCCGCAAGCCAAGGTAGCTTGTCAGTTCACCCAGGTCTGTGCACGTGTGTCTCCTCTGCAGCTCCGAATTCACGTGGGCGAGAGCCTCAGTGTCAGCAGTGGCAAAGACCAAGTCGTCGACGTACACGAGGATGTAGAACGGCGGCAGCGAAGTGTCGGTGCGCAGAAACAGCGACGGGTCAGCAGTAGAAGGTGCGAACCCAAGTGCCGCAAGTGTCGTCCTCAGTGTGTCGTGCCACTCACGTGGAGCCTGTCGGAGACCGTAGACCGGCCGCTGGAGCCTCCACTGGGTACCAGGAGGAAACGACCCAGTGAAGCCAGGAGGGCGGCGCAGCCAGATCTCCTCGTGCAGGCTGCCCTGCAAGAAAGCAGTGCTGAAGTCAAGTGAGTGAAGCTCGTAGTCGCGCTGAGCGGCTATGTGCAGCAGCACCCGAAGAGTAGTCATCTTCGGGGTGGGGGAGAAGGTCTGGAAGAAGTCTACTCCCTCTCGCTGACTGAAGCCTCGAGCAACATAGCGCGCCTTGAAGACAGGAGGAGAACCCGGCGGCCGCTTCACCCTGAAAATCCACATGCCACTGACGATGTTCGCCCCAGGTGGGGGAACCTCGTCGACGTAGGTGCCTGTGGACTTCCAGGAAGCCATCTCTGCGTCCATGGCTGTCTGCCACTGAGAGGAGTAGGGACCCGCCATCGCCTCAGCGTAAGAGCGCGGGGTCGGGATGTCTGGTGCATTCGGGTCTCCCTCAGGGGCAACTAGCATGGACACGAGATGGGGCAAAGCAGCAGCAAAGCACTGGAACTCCTCCTGTCTGTCCTCAAGGACGTCCGTGCCAAGAGCACACTCACCCCCGACGGACGGAGGACAGACAGACTCAGACTCAGCAACAAGGCTAGCGGCGTAGTCTAGACGACACCGGGCAGCAAAGTCAACCAACTCAGCGACCAGAGCAGACGCAGCAGAGGACTCAAAGGTAGGGTCAGTGACAACAGTGGCGAGGAGACGCGTAACAGTGGGACTGGCAGCACGATGGGAGTCAGACTCCGGGTCAGGAAGAGTAGGTAGAGAGGACGCAGGAGGAGACGGCAGTGGGACACGCTGAGGAGCAGTGGAGGGACGCAGAGTCATGTAGTGAGTGCCAGGGACAGGAGGGGGACGCTCACGACGGACACGACAACCAGTGCGAGCAGTGCGAACAGGCGACGCAGGACGAGACTCAGGCTCACGACGCTCGGTAAGACCTCCTGTGGGACCAGTGTAAGGAGAGGGACCAGGAAGAGGCGAGGCAGGCGGTAACTGTGACTGCGACGGGACCGGCGGCGGACACTCTAAGGAGGAAGGAGAACAAGGAGGAGGAGTCTGACCAAGAACCTGCTGAAGGAGTGGTACGAAGTACGGTCGCGGCCGCGCAGCGTCTCCAGAACCAGTAGAGACACCAGCGTCAGGGTCCTCAGTACCAGCAGCAGCTCCAACGCCCGGGTCCTCAGCACCAGTAGTAGCTCCAACTCCAGGGTCCGCAGCACCAGCAGCAGGGCCAACACCCGGGTCCTCAGCACCAGTGGCAACTCCAACGGCCGGGTCCTCAGTGCCAGCAGCAGCTCCAACGTCCGGATCCTCAGCACCAGCAGGAGCTCCAACTCCAGCGTCCTCAGCACCAGCAGCAGCTCCACCGCCCGGGTCCTCAGCACCAGCAGCAGCTCCAACTCCAGGGTCCGCAGCACCAGGAGCGCCACTCCGAAGACTGCAGCGCCGCGTGTACCACTCTCGGATCTGCTGAAGGGAGGGGAGCTCCCGGGTAGGAGGGGAAGCACTGGTGCCAGCTCCAGCAGCACCTCTCCGGAGGCTGCAGTACTGTAGGTACCTCTCCTGCAGCTGCTGTGAGGAGAGGGCTCCTCCAGGTGTAGCACTCTCAGGCTCAGCACCCCCAGACTCAGCACCCCCAGACTCAGCACCTCCAGGCTCAGCACCCCCAGGCTCCGCACCTCCAAGCTCAGCACCCCCAGGCTCCGCACCCCCAGGCTCAGTACCCCCAGGCTCAGCACCCCCAGGCTCCGCACCCCCAGACTCAGCACCGCCAGGCTCCTCACGCTCAGGCTCAGCACCCCTAGCAGGACGAGAGTCGACAGCTACCTCGACAGGCTCAACCGGGTCTACCTGGGACACACCTGAGAGAGGCGGGGGAGGGAGCGGGGCAGTGCGGTAGGGGAAGAGGCGGTAGTAGGGGACGGACTCGTCAAAAGAGACGTCCTGAGAGGGCAGAACCCGGCGCGAGGTGACGTGGTAAAACTGCCAACCAGGGGCGTCCGGGACAAAGCCAAGGAAGACACAAGGAACAGCGCGACGGGAGAGCTTGTCCGCGGACGTGTCGCGAACAAAAGCTCGGGATCCCCAGACCCGGAAACGCGACGCATCGCCAACCTCTCCCGTCCAACGCAGTGTCGGGGAAGTCTCCGGCAAGGAGACACGGGGCCAGAGGTTGAGCTGATGCACAGCGTATCGGACCGCAAACGGCCACAGAAAGTGGGGAGCAGCCGCATGGATCAGGGAGGTACGAGCGATCTCCATGACCAAGCCAATGCGGCGCTCAACAACCCCATTCTGCTGTGGAGAGGCCGGAAGCGTGAACGACTGCTCAATGCCATGCTCGGCACAGTAGGCTGCCAAGAGGTCAGAGGAGAACTCACCACCTCTGTCAGAGTGCAAGCGCAGGACAGGAAAGTCCGAGTGAAAACGCTTGCCTAGCTGGAGACGAGCTCTGCTGATCCAAGGGATCAAAACACCAGGGACCTCACCCTTGGTGCGCAAGGGGAAGACCGTGGTGAAGCGCGAGTAGTCGACAACAATCAGGAAGTACCTCTCCTGACCCTGACCACGGACGTGGGCTGGGCCCCACACGTCCAAGTGGAGCGTCTGCAAGGGAGCAGTCGTCGGGGGAAAGGAGGAGGAGTGAGGAGCGGCGCGCTGCCGCCCCTCGACACAGGGAAGACAGGGAGGAGCAGGCGAGGGCGGGAGGGGAGGGAGCACCCTGGGAAGACCAGAGACAAGCTGCCGTTTGTGCATGGCACGAAGGCGCTGCACAGACGGGTGGCCAAGTCGGTGGTGCCAGAGGACGGTGTCGTGCGCCAGAGAGCGACACGAGCAGGGGGCCGACAGCTGACCTGACGCAGACGC